CCGCATCGACGCCCAGCACAAGCGGGTGAGCCCAGCACGGTGGTTGGCGGGGACAAAGCCCCGTCCTGCTGCCGCCGGGCGCACGCTCGCCGGGGAGGGCAGGCCGTGCACGGCGGGGCTCCGCTCGGCTCTGGGGACTCGCGGCTTCGCGTGGAACCTGCAGACTCCCCTTTGCGGAAAGCTTTCCTCAAGCAGCACTAAAGACTGCATTGCCTGTTACTCTGAGTAGAAAAAAGAACAATTGCTTTACTAATTCCTTCGCCTCAGAGTGGTCACCGAGGTTGCCTGTGATATGTATGAGAGGTAGCGTAGACAGAAATTGCAACTTCTGCCTGTCAGTGTGATAGTAAGTCAGTTCTAGGCTGCTTAACGCTTCTGAGCAGCAGCTTCATCTTCATATCGCTGTTGCAAATTTAAGCTGAGATGAGAGCAAAGAGTTAGAAGAGTGAAAACAAGGCAAAAACAGGTGGGAGGGATGACAACAGGTGGGTGTTTAGTCTCCTGTCTCATTCAAAATTTAGGCAGTGCTGATGTGGGTGACAGCAGAGGTTTCCTGTTTCTATTTTCTGTTTATTGTTTCTTGCTGGGACGGCCCTGGCGGTACCATGGTGGCTCCTAGGCATCAAGGAGGTGGGAATGGCGATTCCTATGAAGGCTCCCTCAGTGATCATTCTGCCTTTCAGCAGTGTGCCTCCCCAGTCATACAACACCTGAAGAGAGTTCAGTCTCACTGAGTTGCATTCAGGACACTGACATACCAATATACAAGCATTTTTGCATGTCTAGGGCCTTGAACAACTTATGTTTTATATAAACTCAAACTATGGCTTCCCTTAGGTTTTCCTGTGTTTGCTGCTTTTCATGAGCTTTTTGGCCTACTGGTCAGATGTTTTGTAGGAGCTGAGCTGTATTATGTCATGTTGGTGCAGGGTCACATCATCCCCTAAAGGAGACAGCCCAGGTGCCCTGCCCTTTGCAGACAGATGCTTACTATGATTGGAAATAACGGATTTGTTTGGTAGGTTAAGATTTAAAGAACTTTGCAGGCACTTTGATTCTGTTCTTGGTCCTTACCCTACATTTGCCCATAACAGTGTCCAGCAGGAAAAAGAACAGAAGGATTTTGTTAAAAGATCCCTGCAGGCTGACACACTTCCCTCTTATTTACTGTAGTCAAATAATATTTGAGTGTGGTGAATTGAACCCTGAGCTGTTGGAGAGGACTGGTTTAGCTGTGGAAGGGTTCCCTGGTTAAGAATAGAAAAAAGGCCTTTATAGCAGCGTTTAAATGTGTAAGCAAAAATAGCTGTGATGCATTTATATCCTGTTGAAAAGTCTCTGCAATTGTTTCCTTTCTCCTGTGGTAGTGCTGCTCCAACAGTCAGCCTTCTTTTCAGAGTCTGGCTTCCATTATGTTTGTTTTTGAGGAGGATAATCACTACACAGGCTATTTCCAGCTTTGGGGGCCTGCAGTTACTTAATGGACCCAGTGTAGCAGATCAAGTGAGGTTTTGCTTGATTAAACTGCATCAGCTGGGGGGGTCAGCAACCAACCAGAACCACCTGATGGCTCTGTTAATTGTTGCTTGCTCTGTTTCAGGGAAAGCTGACAGCAAGGGAACGAATTTTGCTGCTGTTGGACCCTGACAGTTTTGATGAATATGACATGTTTGTGGAACACAGATGTACTGACTTTGGGATGGACTCTAGTAAGAATAAGGTAGTTTTATTTCATATAACTCTTGTTTTGGTGTCCTCTGCTGTGCAGCCAGCCTGCTGGTTGAAAATGGGGTCTTCTGTTCACATGTGATTTCTACTATTTGTTTTCTTTTTATGTATAATTTTGTTTTGTAAATTTGCTCTAAGTACTCTCAGTTTCCATTTAACAGCTTACAGAGTTTTCTGTTGCCTAAACTTGATACCTTTTTTATAAGGTCACCTGTTCAGTTTAAATACCTTCCTGGAAATTGTCTTATATTTGCATTTTAAACAGTAGAGGAGGCTGCAGAGCTTTGTTGGTGAAATTTTGTCAATCAGATAAGAGGAACAATTCAGGGTAGATACTTCTGATTCCCTACAGGTAGGATTAGAGTTATTGGATTAAACAGCTCAGATCGATATTTATGCCTGCCAAACTACAGTCATAAAATCCTTTAGGGCCTTACAATCTGATCTGGATGTTTGGAGGTCCCAGCATTTGTACTGCTCTGTTAGCTAGCTACACCCTGCTTGCTAAGGCACTTTGCTAATGTGACCATGTATCCTAAACCAACACGATACAGGGAGTTCCACACACACAGGGAAAATCAGTGGCTCTGCAAAGTCTCACCGTAATGTTGATTCCTGATAATGTGCTACCTGGGAAAAGTGTTCTCTTGTGGTTTGGTAGAAAAGACAAGTGAGCTGCTGGGATGTCAATGGCTGGTGCTAATGTGCCTGTTCACCATTAATCTTCCTGTAGCCAAAGGCTGTTGGCTGTGGGTTGTGGTGTTGGGTGAGGAGCTGCTCTCTGTGTGCCCTGTGCTGCACACAGTGGCTACAGCTTCTGTTTGTGGAGTTTCTAAACCAGTTTGTTGGGTTTCAGTCCTCCAGGTTGTAGGATTGCAGCCTGTGGATGAGGGAGGGGACAGCAGGGTTCCAGCAGGGGCACTGGGAACAGCAAAGGTGAAGGATTTATTTGTTGTTGACAGAAAGCTGATGACACTTGGTGTTGAGAAGGATGTTGTGTTAGACCTCCTCCCCTCTCAGGGAGTAGTGGAGCAATCATCTTTTTTCCTCTACATTTTTTGCTGTTCCCCAGCAGACTGAAGTAACTGCCACATTGCCTCCCATCAAGTTACTCCATGCTGCATCCCACACATATCAACACTGTTGATAACAAATTACCGTTCCTGAAAAAAGGAGGAGCAGCACAGTCCTGAGTGTGACAATAGGGTTAATTTTTTCCCTTGTGATTCAGAATTCACCCTTCAGTGAGCTGCAGATTGTGTTTACAGAGCACAGTTTCACAACAGATGACCTAACTGTGGCCACTGAGCTGGAATATTGGTTTAGCATTGAGTTTCTCAGAGTCCCTGGAACTTTCTGAGGGTATGGTAGGACCTGTGTTCACATCCAGGCTGCTCTGTGGGCTTCTGGGGCTTTTGGGAGTCTCCTGTACATGGCAGTGGCTGAAGTACTTGCATGTGCTGCTGTCCTGTGTGCCAGGGGCTGAGAGCAGTCCTGTGTGTGCAGCCTGAGAAAAGGCACCAGACAGGTGTGACCTTCCTGACAACAGACCACCTGGGCATAAATGGCCCTTAGAGGGGGCCTGCACCACACACTTCCCTTTTTTCTTTCCTTTTTTTTTCATTTTTAGTACCAAACAACAAAAAGCACTTCAGTGCCTGAAATTCCCTTTTTTACTGACAGCCTAGTAAAGTTCCTTTCCTACTGTTGTCTCAAAAGACTTCTATATATTTTCTTTACTAGAAAGTGATACAATATAGATGAAGCACATTTTAAGACTCAAAGGCTCAATTTCCTTGGCCGGTTCTTTCTTCCCTTGTTTACAGGGGGGAAAATGGGACAGGTCAAGTTCAAGCATTTGAGGTGACTGTGATTATATTTTTGGACCTGTCCAGGGTTGTTTTTTTATCCTGTATCAAGCACTCAGAGGTGCACCATGTCCATTCTTTCAAAAACATCAGCTAGTCCTGATAAAAGGGTACATCCTGTCTCTGAGGATATGATTTGTCTTAAGTCCAGAAGTGGTAAATTTGAAGGGAAACTGTTAAGTTCGCTGATCTTTAATACATAATGAATATGTGATATTACCTCTAGTTTTCCTTTTCAGGGCTGGGGAAAATCTTTGTGGAGTCTGCACTGCAAACATGGAAGATAAGATTTCCCAGGAAATCAGTCTTTGCTTTGTCTTAATAGGAGTTTGTGGAAATTCTATTGGATGTCATTGTTGCTTTGATTTTTTTTTATTTTCAGTTAATTTATCTGTTTTTAATGCAGTATCCTGGTGACAGTGTGGTGACTGGCCGTGGACGAATTAACGGGAGACTAGCTTATGTTTTCAGTCAGGTAAAGTTTTACTTGTTTTTAAATAGTGGGAACTTACCCTTTGAAATAAGTTCACAATAGTTCAGTGTGGTCATGTAGCAATGTGGAAGGAAGCAGTGATCCCTCAGACAAGAAGAAGCAAAAAAGCTTGTGATAGATAGCATATAAAGAGATAAAATATATTTTTTATGTTAAAATATATTTTTATATTAAAATAAAATTATTTCAAAGGAAACATCTTAGGTAGAGACTTATCTTGGTCTGAAAGAAAGGCTTTCTTTCAGATCATTAGTAAGTGCTGCTCTGTTCTGGGCCACAAAGTAGCCTTTGTTCCATTTGCTTTCATGGCCAAAGTGGCCGTTGCTGTGTTACCTTGGAGCAAGGGTACAGTCTGCCTTTTTTTGTCTTGGATATGTGCTCCTTCCAAGGAGAGACACTGTTACATGGGGCTGAGCATGTGGAGAGGAGCCAAACACAAACCTTCATTTTAGAACACAACTAGAGGGCAGTTTTTGTATTAGTAGAATTTAAGAGTGCTCCTTCATGATACAACCCTCCCTTTTTATATTTAAAGACCTTTTTCCCTCCAAATTGAGCTGCCTCTTGAGATGCCAAGCCTTTTTGGTTCAACTGTTATTTGTAACAGAGACATACAACATAACAGTCATAACAGAGACATGCTGTCTCTGTCCATACAGTTTTTGGGGTTTCTTTAGAAGTAAGACTTAGTGGGAATGCAGCAGAGAAACTCCCCAGGAGCTGCCTCTGGGCTGTGTTTGTGCCAGTAGGTGTCAATATCCTCTTTTTCTTCTGGATCAGTCCAGGGCCTGTTAAGAGATCTTTCTGCTTAGGCCTTTTGGCTGGCATAGTCCCTACAGCACCCCAGAAGAGTAATAACTCTTGGACATAACTCATGAGTCTAGAATGGTGATGTGTATCCAGGTTTGTATTTCCTCCTTGTAAAGGAGGCTTTATTGAGCTGGGATGATCTGCAGGCTGCACTGAGGGAGTCGGTTGTTTTGAAGCAGCATACCAAATATAGAGCACTGTAGGATTATATTATTTACTGGCAATAATTGACAACATTTTGCTGAAATTATTCTTTCCCTTATCTGAAAATTTGCTTTACCTTCAGGATTTTACTGTATTTGGAGGCAGTTTATCTGGAGTTCATGCTCAGAAGATCTGCAAGGTAATAAGACACAGGAGAAAATAAAACAATTTTCAGCATCCTTTTTTCAGTCTGTTGCGATTATGACTTTAGAGAAAATATTTGGTGACTTACTTTAGTGGGCTCTGGCATGTGCCATGCCTGAGAATGGTGCTTCTGGAAACTTTTTTGAGTGTGAATGAGCCTTTCCAGGTAATACACACTTCGTTACATTAAGTTATCTCTTCTACTTTACTGCGAAGGATGAGAGACTTGCCAAGTACAAATATAAATGTACTACTCCTTGTACACTGGAGAAATGTGGAATTAATTTGGAGAAACTTTTTCCTCTAAACAGTGTGCTGTGAAAGTGTGTAATAGTTAAAAATAAGTAAATGTAACAAGTAAACAGCCTGAAAAGAAAGTTTTACAGCTTGGAGGTCACCTTGACCCTGAGATTTTCTCTTATCAGACACTTGTGGCTATTTATTTCTGTTTGTCTGCTTGTCTTGCTAGAAGAGTTTTTGAATCCCAGGACTGGGGAGAAAAGAACTCTTTCATGCATGAGTGTTGAGTGGTGTGATCTGGGAAATCTTCCTGAATTTTCTTGCCATGGAATCAGAAACAAGATTTTTGGTGCACAGGGCCTTTTATGCTGTGGAAATAACTACTCTTTGGCATAGGCTCCTCAGGAGTGTGTGGGTGTAAAACTAGAAAACATGAAGACTTCGGGCTAGATAACAACTATTTGATTTTACCAGGGTTTGATATTGGGAAGGACTTGAATTACCCTTTAACACTGAAGCTTTGTGGTGTCTGTACTGGGGAGGGATGGAATGGCACTGGAATGATGGGATGCTTTCTGGAGGGTTTTCTTTGATTTCTTCTTTCTAAAGCAGCAGGGTCTGATCACAGAACTAGAAAAAATGTGTGTCCTTCCTGGCTGGTGCTGTTCTTTGTGGGCTCTAAAGCTGGAAGGCTCTGAGGACATCAGTTGTTTTGGGGTTCAGTCTTTGAGGTGTGTTTTAGAAAGAACTTGGAAGAGCCTTGAGAAAGAAAGTCCATATATGATGTCCCTGGAAAACAGCAGAACGTGTCAGTGAATTCTAGGACTGTACAGAGGTGGTTACCACCAGTTCCTGTTTGGGCTGGAGTTTTGGGTCTCCTGAGATACCACTGACATGAGTGGCACCAAGTGTGGTATCTGTGTTTCTAGGCAATATAAAATTCAAGATTGATTCTACAGGCACTCTGAAAGATGGGACTGGAATTGTAAATCACTTAGAGAGTTAAAGATTGTCTAAAATAATTTTATAACAATGATTAAAAGAGCAGGGAAAAGCAACTTCAAATTTCAAAATGGAGATTAACTGATGTTTTACAAAAATTATATAGGAGCTAAAGCAAATCTTGATGTTAAAACAGATCTTAGCATAATGTGCCAGTGCTGTAGTGTTATGGCAAATATTTTACTGGAATTCAGTAATCAGGAATATTTTGTGCAAGGAATGTAAGGAATTCAGTCCTCCTACTTAAGGCTCTGTTGTAGTATTGTGTATGATCTTGAGGCAAGTAACCAAAATGATCAGAGTCCTAGAAAACAGGATGTGGGACTGAATTGATGGTGCTTAACCTAGAAACATGAAGAGGAATACGAAGACTGAAGGGAAATTTGAGGTACTTGAATGTTCACAAAAGTAAAGGCCAAGAATAGCTAATTGGTCTCCCTCACTGCTGTGTATCAAGACAAACAGAATGTTTAAATTTCTGGAGGAAAGATTTAATTTAGTCTTCCCAAAGAAGTTCTAAGAAGGGTAATCAAGCATTAGAATATACAGCTTAGAGAGATTCCACAGCCACCGCTGCAACAAACTTTGAAGAGTAGATGAGGGGATGATTGAGGTGCAGTTGAGGCTGCTTATGAAGAAGGGGAAATTGTCCCTCTCCTGTGACAGTGTCACTCACACTGCATTATCCAACTCCAGTGCTGAGTGTGGAGATGCACAGCTGGGAGAGCAAATATTTTTTTGGGGTTTAGCTTAGCTGGGCCAATACTGAGGAGTTTGTGTTCATCACTAGATTATGGATCAAGCTGCCATGGTTGGAGCACCTGTGATTGGGTTGAATGACTCTGGAGGAGCCCGTATCCAGGAGGGAGTGGAGTCCTTGGCAGGCTATGCAGACATATTTTTGGTGAGTAGGCTGCTGGATGGACAGAGAGCTTGGCATCCATAAAGGTGGGCAAAACATGCAAGTGGGTGTTTGTAAGTAAATGTTAAAGTTATCGTTCTGTTTCAGCCAATGGATAAAATAGTATGTGAAAGTCAAACCTTGGTTCTTTTCTTGGCTTTGGGCAAATGTACCCATGTCTTAAACAAGGGTGATGCTGAGCTCTGTAAAACTCTGTGATCTAATATATAGTGAGAATGACAGAACAGGCAATTTGCTTAATTGGAAGGAAACCCCAAGCAACTGCTTAACTTCTTGGTTTATACCAATTTTGAATTGTCTGTGTTGGGATGTAATTTCTCTGAGCATTTATTAGTTTGAGGCAAGTGGGTGCACCATAGTTCAATGTTTTTTTTGCTTCTGATGCACTATCAGCTTCCTTGTGTCTCTTTTGAAATAAAGATATGTTATCAATTTCACACAGCAGTTATTTTCAATAGGGCTTGTAAAAGGTGAAGGATTTCCACTGGAGAAAGAGGAACTTAAAGTAAATTAAGCATTGTGCACTGACAGACTGGAAACTTGAAAAGCTCAGATCATAAGCAGTGAGGTGCCTGTTCTGTCAAGATGGGGGTTAGGAGGGAAAACAAAATAGAGTTTGTGGCAGCAGAGAAAGAAGGCATGCAAGCCAGAAAGATATCTGTTCAAAGAAGCATGCAGGTCAGTGTTAACCTTGCTGGTTTGGGATGTCCAGTGTTGATTACAACTGGTGAAAGATGTATGTTCCCAGAGGATTTTTGTGGTTAATGCAAGATTTTTTTTCCCCTAGTGCACTGCTGCTCATTTTTTCATGGAAATGACATTCTTTTGTATGCCTGCTAAAATACTTTGCATCAAATTGTGTGCACAGAACACTGTCCTGTCAGTAGGAAAGTAAGTGGCATGTCAGGTCAGTCAGGTTTTGGGGTGGTGCAGTCTGGAAGGAACAGTTACAGAAGTCTTTGTGACCCAGTTGAGCAACAAGCAATGGAAGTGGTTTTTTTGATAACACACCATCCATGTTGGATGGTAGCCATTCACTTTTGTGTAAAACTCAAGCTGGTGCAGAAAGCTGATTTTAAAAGAATCTCTCCCCTAGCTGGTCAGTAAGATTGCTTCTACCTCTGAGCATAGTGTACGTGCACATCCAAATGTCAGGGACATCCACTCCTTCCCACTCCAGGCTCAGTGCAGTTTTTGCCCCTGCAGTATCTGTTGAGGTGGCTCATGTTATCTCCTCTGCAGTCATTGTATGGTATAGGGAATCAACTGTAGGGGAATAGAAAGGAGAAAAACAGAAATAACAAACTCATTTTGGTTCAATTTGCATCAAGAGATTCTCTCCAGATACTTGTCTGCCAGTAGATAAAACAGTCACTGTGATGGTGAATTCTTGCAGGACCTGGGCACAGATTTAAAGACACATTTCTTTGGTAAAACCAGATTTTTTTTCTCCTGTTTCAGAGAAATGTTTTGTGTTCTGGTGTCATTCCCCAAATCTCCCTCATCATGGGTCCTTGTGCTGGTGGAGCTGTGTATTCTCCTGCCTTAACTGATTTCACATTCATGGTGAAGGTAAGGGTGTGTCCTGAGCTGCTGCTGGTGATGGTGATGACACACTAAGTGACCACATGCGAATGGGTATTTTCTGAGATGACTTTCTGCTTTGGATTTTTATTTTGCATGAAAAGTTGAGAAAAACTTTTCCAAATAACTTGTGGACAGTTGCATCTTCAGTATATTTTCAGTGCAATGCAGCCTTTTTAAGAAATTTGTCCCTCTGTTCTTATTTTGGGGGAAGTCTCTAGAGGCTGTAGCTGTTCCATAGGTGCTTTTGCAGCTTGGCTCTGGCATTCACTGTTTCTGCTTTTCCACTTCCCCCAGGACACATCCTACCTATTCATCACTGGGCCTGATGTGGTAAAGTCTGTCACCAATGAAGATGTCACCCAGGAGCAGCTGGGGGGTGCAAAGACACACACTGCAGTGTCTGGTGAGAGCTGGGGGCTTTACAGAACATGCTAATTATGTGCAAAGTAAATGTGAGTAGTTCTGGCTAAACAGCCCTTGCAGATGAGTCTAAGGGACAAAGCTCTGCCTAAGCACAGGGTCTAGCTTTGCATATGCTCTCCTGCAGCTCCTGTTGAGTAACTGAACACAAAGGAGGGAAAGTGGGAATATGGGAGAGTTCTGGGATTTGGAAGAGAAAGTAGCAAACCCACAAAAGATGCTAGAAGTGGGAAGACTGTCAGGGGGCAGGGCTCAACAAAGTCAGCCTGGGGTGGGGTTTTTTTTGTTTGTTTTCCAGATATTTGCATGGGTTGAAAGATTCTCAACAGTCCCTTGTTAGCTCACTAAAAGTGATTGATTTTGAACTGCTTAACTATAAACCAAGTGGCAGTGTGAGCTGAAGCACTTCTCTTCTTTTTTCCCCTCTGTGAAAATGTCTGTGAGTCATGAATCTTCTCAAGTGACTGTGTTGGATGACAAATGACTGTGGGATCTCAAATTCTGTGTGAACTGAGCTGATGATGAACCAAAACCACACACACAGATGCTGCCCAGATCCAGCCCTTTTATAAAGAGCACTTGTAGTCCAACACTTGGGTGCAGCACACTAACCTGAACAGAGTTCCAGAATGCTGGAGTCCAACTAGGGCTGTGCCAGCTGATAAACCATTTCACATCATTTTAAATATGAGGTCAACAATGCTGACCTGTTCTGGAGGAAGTCTGATACAGCACATGTTTTCTAGATATTTTTAGCTGGTCAGGTTTAGTGGCTTAAGACTCCTCATTGTTAATAGCTCAAGTTTAAAGAGTCTTGCTGTTACTTGTTTCTATCTTTACTGGTATGTATTTGGAAAGGAAAGCTTTGCATGATGGTTTCCATACCTGCTTTACTGTGTCTGTGCAGGAGTTGCACACAGAGCCTTTGAGAATGACATCGATGCTCTGCTGAACCTCCGAGAGTTCTTTAATTATTTACCCCTGAGCAACCGGGATCCAGCTCCAGTCTGCGAGTGCCATGATCCCAGGTAAGGGGAGCTTGCCTGAGCTCGGTGCTCTCTGAGCACTGCATTTCATGGCTTCTCTGGCTTAAGGGACACTGAGACACGGGTGTTCTGTGCCTGGGATCTTGGCAGATAATTCTGCATTCTGGTATGTGAATATGGGAAGTTTCCCAACATGTGTGTGTTCACTATTAGGTAGAATTCTGTTTTCTGAAAGGGCTGTTGTCCAGGGAAAAAGCAATCTCTGTCCAGGTGGGCTGCCCAGTCTCTTGGAACAAGTGAGAGAGGTAGGAAGCAGCACAGTGAGTGGCAGTGGGGAGAACTTGCCCTGTTCTGTCAGCTGTGTCTGTTGGATGAGTTCTGCTCATAAGGGTTAGAGGTGGGCAGGCAACAAGGAGGCAGAAGGCTTCGTGTGTTAGGTACTTGTCTCAGACTCACTGTGGAGTTGGCAACATAATACAGGAAGGACTTGAGCCATTTCAAGAGGGGAAAAATGGCAACTGTCTGGACTTTTATCAGGGAATTTTTCCAGGAGCTGAGAGACAGCCAGAGAGACAGCACAGGACACTGAGCAGAGAGCCTTGCTAGGATTGGAAGACAGAATGTAAGTGGAGTAAAAGTATTTTGACCCAAGTTCCAGTTGCACTTGAAGTTCAGCCCTTTCTGTAGGGAACCCTCAAGAGGCTGTTGCACTCTCCTGCATGGGAGTGGTGCCTGAATATGTTCCTTTCAGCTCCTCACATGTGTGTGATGTGTCTTGGGGCTCTTCATGTGTGATGATTTTACCATGTGAGTCTGAAAGGTTATTTCCTCTTCATTCTCCAGTATGCTTTTCAGTGTCTGTGTAACAGTTTGTTTGGGGAGGTGCTTTTGGATTGATTTACAAATCACTGTGCTGGTCCCTGAGATACATTTTTCACTTTTTTAAAAATAAATTCGCCACTTTCTTTAAGAAAATGGCCAGACAGTTGAATTAATTACTAGTCCTAAATTTTTCTGAGGTAGGTATTAATCTTTAGGAGTTCATTAAACTCTGCTAGTCTGATTCTGTTCTGTTCTTGACTGCTCTGGTTTGATAGTGACAAAACCAAAGCAAATCTCTTGTATTATTTGCTGAGTTGGGGGATTATCTTTGAGGTTATCATGATTTTTATAAGCATTTAACAAGTTGTACTGGGATAATTGCTCTCTATAGATTTGACTTTTGTATTTTAATTTCACTATGGAAGCAACAGTCCATTTCTTAAATCAATTTACTTTATATCAGGCAATTTTATGTGTGAGAAGCTGTCAGGTTGTAGCTACTGAAGTATAAGAGATTTGTCTCCCTTAAGAAAAAAAGAGCTAATCTTTTACAAGGCGTGAGATATAAGTGCATTTTGTACTAAGAACTTGAAATTAGTAGCCTTTATACATGTGAAGGCAGATCTGTTTGTTAAATTTGCCTGGTTTTATAGCAGCATCTCCAGTAGTTCTCCCATTTATGGTCCTAAATGATGCACAGATTGGTATTATTTCATCTGGACATTCTGACATCTTAATAAATTCCTTTTTCTTGGGATTGTGTTTGATCCTTACAGCTGCTCCAGTCCCTATCCATTTCCTCTAGAATAATTACTTTCTTATTGCATTGTTTTCACACAAAAAAAATTGCTATAAATTATGCAAATCAAATGTAACCTACTTGTGCTTTCATTGTGAAGTCCTGGGGCTTTTGGGGGTTGTTTGGTTGGTTTAGTTTTCCTTCTAGTTTGGTAAGTTCTTTTTGGTGTTGAAAAATGCCAGCCTTGGCTGCTGAAGCTTGTGTTGGTGTTGTCGGTGGCCTGGGTTCCGAGGACTTAGAAGATCCTGCCTTTTGGAGGTACCTGATGAATTGCATTTGCTGTATGGCATGGTGGGATTTTACCTCTCTCTGTGTCTCTACAAACTTCTGAAGGAGGTTATTGCAAACTCTTGGTAACCGAGTGCATTTTCACTTCTGCATTGAATGAAACCGAGTGTCCATCCAGCTGTCACAGGCTTTAACAATGAGTAGCAGTTCTGTCCCATTAAGTGGGATCTGTAAGAAACACCTTTTAATCCAAATGAGCAAGCTCCAGATGTCCTGTGTTTGTAGATATTTGAAGAAGATTTTTCAAATGTGGTATCCTGAATAATGTCTTCATTTTGCTGATGGCTCTTTTAATGCTGTTAAAATTTCCTTCAGCACTGTGTATTTATGGGAGCAATAGTTTAATTTTTCCACTTCTATCTTTTGGGGTACCACAGGTTGCAGGACAGAGCTTGGAGTGCATCTGTATCTACTTTACAGACAAGAAAGTTTGGAATAGTTTTTATCTTAGGGTTTAGTATGTTAAAACAAGTTTAACTTCTTCAGAATAAGGCTCCACTGTATCATTTTATGGAAGTGTTTGTATGCAATATTTGTATTCTGTGGAAAAAGCACTTGAAGTGTTGCTGTTAGCCTTGTTCTATAAATAGCTGTGCTTCTTCCCTTCCCTGCCAGGGGCTGTGCCTCTCTCGTCCCATGTGTCTGAGGGAGCACAGGGACAGCCATGGGCCTGCACTTCTGTCTGATTTTGTCAAACCACACATCACTTTCTTCAGTTTTAAATTGTGTGTCTAGAGCCTTGTGTTGTCTTATTCAAAATGTACTAAAGCATAGCATTGTTAAAATATTAATTCAGTAAGAACTCCATAGAAACACCATTTGTAACAAACAGATCAGTGTTTTTATGGAATAGCATAAATATACTCCCTGAAACTTCAGTGGCAACTCATAAAAATTGACACCCCAGCACTAAATCCTCAGACCCAGTGGGTGCCACTGCTGAGTGGGTCCCTAATGAGGGTAATGTGATCTAAGGTGGGGAACTGATCCTGTCTCTGCTGATGGCAGGACAGTGTCTCTGTTACAGGAAAACTCGACGTGAAAATGTGTCACTCTTGTGGAAAAACAAGAAAGTCTTTAAACGCAGCCAGTGAAGGAAAGTGAAGGGAAGATACAGAGTGTCTTTCGTATGTTTTCCCCACTCTGCTTTGGTCTGGTTGGAGACGGGGAAATGAACATAGAAAGGTTTCCTTCAACTCTGTGTGTTCAAATCCCCGGGTGACAGCGTGGGCAGGGTGAGTGTGGAGTTCCTGATACCCTGGTGTGTGACAGGGAGCCTCGGGCCTGGCCCGCTGTAGGGACCCGGCTGTGCTGCAGCCGCCCCCGACCTGCTGAGCGGTCCTGCCGCCAGCCCCCGTGTCCCCTGCAGCCTCCCGGCCGTGTCCCCTGCAGCCTCCCGGCCGTGTCCCCTGCGGCCCGGCAGCCTCCCTGCCGTGTCCCCTGCAGCCCGGCAGCCTCCCGGCCGTGTCCCCACACGCTTCTGTCCCGCGAGCCGGCAGTGCCCCCTGCAGCCCGGCCGTGTCCCCACAGCCCCGCGGGCCGTGCTGCTCGGGGCTTCCCAAGCACAGGTGCCTGTGCAAGAGGCTGCTCGGGCTCAGGATGCCTGAGAAGAAGAGAACCGGTTATTTTCCTCATATTTGAGGCGGTTTCCAAAGTTTCTGAGAGGTGGAAATGTTTACCCGAGTTTTTGGTCTTGGTGTTCATTTGGTCTTTAAATGTTGTTGCTCACACTTGCTTGCTCTCCACAGTGACCGTCCGGTTCCAGAGCTGGACACCATTGTCCCAAGTGAGTCAACCAAAGCCTATGATATGCTGGATATTGTACACTCCGTAAGTCTGATGGTATTCAGCTTAAAGATGCATATATTACATTCTGGGTCTAAATAATTGAGAAAAAACAGTAGACTAGCACTGAAGATACAGATACTGTTACTTATTTATTTCAGTCTTTATAAGTGACTATTTCCACCTGTGCAGTAGCTTGTGAATGGGCAACAAAAACTGTAGGGGAAAAAAGATTTTAGTAGAATCCCAAGATTTGTTTTTCAGGATACATCTTACGCTGTATACACAGCTCTACAGATGAAAGATGCTGCAATTCAGTTCTTTCTGGGGTCAGAACCTCCCTTGAGTTGTTTGGCACCTCCCTGCACCTTGGTGCTTCTGTCTTGGATTCCAGCACTTATATATAAAAGTAATAAGGTACACAGAATGCAGAGATTTAGCCTTCCCTGTTTCTGGTTAGAGACAGTTATGTACTTGCACAGTACAAGAAAATACATTTGGTTTTTTTTCAAATTACAAAATTTGCAACTGGCGTCATTTAGACTCATTTTATCAAAAAATGAAACCAAGGTCAAGATGTTTTTAATCCCTGGATTCTTCCACTGTGAATTTCCACACTATGTGTAATGAAAGTTAAAAGATGGCATGAAATAAAAATCATTAGGTGAATTAGGAGAAAACCCCCAAGCCCTCCCACAGATTTTGGGAAGTATTAAGGGAAGAAATAACACCACTTTTATAACACAACTTTTTTAAGACTGAGGCTAATGAAATGACTGGCACACTGCAGTGTGTATGGGAACAGCTGCCATAAACAGATGGAAGTGGGGAATCCTGCTGGAAGCCCAGGCAGCCGTGTGTAGGTGTCGCTACTGCTCCATGGATAACTCTGATCTGTTGGAACATGTGAGTTCTGATCGTTCCTCATGCACCAGGGGCTGTCCCTTGGCAGGGCACACACTGAGCTCCAGCCCGAGGGAAGTGCAGCCACACAGGTGTGTGCTTCCAGGTGGATGCTGGCTGGACACTGTATTCCCTGCATTCCCTGGGACACACCCAGCACTGACCCTGGGGCAGCAGGGCTGTGCTGGCTGCTCCAAGAAAGGGCTTTGAGCTTGCCAAGAGAGATTACATCAAACGTATCATGGGGAGCCTCTGAGCTCCAGGAAGTACTGTTCTGTCACTGGAAATCAGTCTGTAAGGCTGCTGCTAATTAGTTTGTGAGAAAGAAGTTCTTAACATGTGATTTCCATTTTATTCTAAACTGGGAAGAAAGGCTCCCTTCAGTCATAAAGGTGTTCCCTGATGGATCGCTTAACTAACTGTTTTGGTAGTTTTTGCAGGACTATATAATTCTTGCAATTAAGGCTGCAAAGACTAAAAGGTTTCCCTCCCTCTCTTTCCTTCAAAATTCTGCAAGTTCTGAACTGTTTAAAAAGTTGCAATACAAAGGTAACTGAGTTTGTGTTTGCCTGTGTATTTATGCACCTCTGTCTGGCCTCATATGGGCTCTGTCTGCCTCTCCCTTTTGCAGATTGTGGATGAGAGGGAATTCTTTGAGATCATGCCAACCTATGCCAGGAACATCGTGGTGGGATTTGCCAGAATGAATGGACGGACCGTTGGGATCGTGGGCAACCAGCCCAAAGTAGCCTCAGGTTAGAGTCCAGTGTGAGACTCTCAACAGTGTCTTGCCTGTGTCTCTCTGTGCATGCTGTGTAAGGTCAGAGCTGTTGTGTTGTGTGCTCCTCCACTCATTCTGTGTTTTTCCACTGCTTCTTTTGCCTTGAACCTCACTGTAATGCAGCTGTGAGCTGTGAAATGAACTGCAAACCATTTATTTAGTGGCTCAACAAGGTGATCTTGCTCCCAGGTAATTGAATCAGTGCTGCATCCAGCCCAAGAGGAGCAGCAGCTGCACATGTGGTGGGG